AAAAAAAAAAAAAAAAAAAGGGGGGGCGGTTTATAAGAAAGGAGACGCTGTATGTACAGACACCCCAGAGGCGGTGGCGTCTCCTCGATGGTGTTTATTGGTGGGGTTGTTGTTTTATACACAGTTGCAGCTTTGTGGTCTTTGCTGCACTGCACTGCAGCAGGTCCTCACCACGCGAGCAGCGCTAGCTAGCTACGGATAGCTAGCTAGCTACAGCTAGCTAGCTAGCCACAGCTAGCTAGCTAGCTACAGCTAGCTAGCTAGCTACGGCTAGCTACGGCGAGATCCAGCTAGCTGCAGCTAGCCATAGCTAGCTACAGCTAGCTACGGCTAGATGCAGCTAGCTACAGCTAGCTACAGCTAGCTACAGCTAGCCAAGAGCGACTGGTGGGAGTTGTTTATGAGGCAGGTGCCTCAACCTGCTGTTTCTTTATATATGCAGTGCATTTGTTCCGGTGTACTTTGGGTGTATGCTGCTGCTGCTGCTGCTGCTGTTGCTGCTGTTACTGCTACTGCTGCTGCTGCTGCTGCTGTTACTGCTACTGCTGCTGCTGCTGCTGCTGTTCACTGCTACTGCTGCTGCTGCTGTTACTGCTACTGCTGCTGCTGCTGCTGCTGCTGCTGTCTAGATACGTAGCAAGATATTCATATAAAGGGGGGGGGGGTAGTGGGGCGACGCAGTGGGGATAGTAAGAGAGACACAGTGCACATAGTTTAGGCTTTGCTGCTGTTGCTGCAGCTGCTGCTGCTGCTGTTGCTGCTCTGCAGCAGCAGCAGCAGCAGCAGCAGCCGCAGCAGCAACAAACAGCAACAGCAGCAAACAGTGTTGGCAGCTATCGCTGCAGTTCATAGTATAGACGAACTCGTCCTTGCAGCAGTAACAACCAGCTGTTGCTGCTGTTGCTGCTGCTGCTGCTACCTGTTGCTTACGTGGTGCAGCAGCGCCACGCAGCATCGTGCTGCAGCAGCAGCACCGTCTTCAGGAGCGGACTCTCTCCCTGCTGGTTCTGTTGCTGCTGTCGCTGCTGCTTCTGCTGCTGCTGCTGCTGTTGCATCTGCTGCTGCTGCTGCTGCTGCTGCTGCTTCTGCTGCTCGGATTTCATTTGAAAGCGCCAGGGCTGCGCGCAGCAGCACGGGAGACCCGGGGTTGAGGCAGGGCTGCAGGCTCTGCTGCTGCTGCTGCTGCTGTTCCTGCTGCTGCTGCTGCTGCTGCTGCTGCTGCTGCTGCTGCTGCTCGCTGCTTGTAGTGAGTTCGTCTGCGGCGAGTCCGATAGAGGAGAAGTCCCCAACCCCGTCCGGTGCCTCATCGGCACGTTGCTGCTGCTGCTGCTGCTGCTGCTGCAGCTGCTGCTGCAGCTGCTGCTGCTGCTGCTGCTGCTGCATGTGGCGTTGCTGCACGGCAGCTTCGTGCATCGTGACAGCAGCAAAGGCATCCAGCAGCTCCTCCGTCGCCAAAAGCCCCAAACCCTCGCGCTGCATGCACTCTCCCACTTGCTGCTGATCGAACAGCAGCGGCAGCAGCAAACGAGAAACACCACGCACAGACGAGAACGT